GATGTTTTTAATTTCTTCCTTGATTTCTCTGGTAACCCAGTCTTTGTTTAATAGCATGCTGTTTAGTCTCCATGTGTTTGATTTCTTTGGATTTTTTTCGTTGTAGTTAATTTCCAGTTTTATGCCACTATGATCTGAGAAGATGCTTGATATGATTTTTATCTTCTTGAATTTGAAGAGACTTTGCCTATGTCCCAAAATGTGGTCTATCTTTGAGAATGACCCATGTGCGCTTGAGAAGAATGTATATTCTGTGGCTTTGGGGTGGAATGTTCTGAAGATGTCGATTAATTCCATCTGGTCTAGCGAGTCATTTAGGATTGATATTTCTTTGCTGATTTTTTGTTTAGATGACTTGTCAAAGGGTGACAGTGGGGTATTAAGATCTCCTACTATGATTGTATTGCTATTAATCTCTCCCTTAATGTCCTCCAGCAGTTTTTTTATATATTGGGGTGCTCCCGTATTGGGTGCATATATATTTACCAGGGTTATTTCTTCTTGTTGGATTGCTCCCTTTAGTATTATGAAGTGACCTTCATTATCTCTTGTTATGTCCTTCACTCTGAGATCTAATTTGTCAGATATAAGTATTGCTACCCCAGCTTTTTTTCCATTTCCATTCGCCTGGAAAACCTTTTTCCATCCCTTCACCCTCAGTCTGTGTGCATCTTTTTTTCTTAGGTGGGTTTCTTGTAGACAACAGATATATGGGTCTTGTTTTCTTATCCAATCCGTTACCCTATGTCTTTTGATTGGAGCATTTAGTCCATTTACATTTAAAGTTATAATTGATAGATACTTATTTGACGCCATTTTTATTCTATACCCCTGTGTTCCTTCTTTGCTTTCTGTTTCTTTAACTTTACAGTAGACCCGTTAGCATTTCTTGCATTGCTGGTTTGGTGGAGATAAATTCCCTTAGTCTGTTTTTGTCTGTGAAGCTCCTGATTTCCCCTTCAATTTTGATTGATAGCCTTGCTGGGTACAGTATTCTTGGATTCAGACCCTTCCTTTGCATGACTTTGTATATTTCATCCCATTCCCTTCTGGCCTGATAAGTTTCTGTGGAGAAATCAGTTGCTAGTCTGATGGGGGTTCCTTTATATGTAACTTTCTGTCTCTCTCTGGCTGCTTTTAAAATTCTTTTTTTGTCGTAGGTGTTTGCCAGCTTAATTATAATGTGTCTAGGAGTTGATTTTCTGGGGTTCATTTTGCTTGGGACTCTGCGAGCATCTTGGATTTGTGTGGGTTTTTTCTTCTCTATCTCAGGAAAGTTTTCTGTCATTATTTCTTGAAATACGTTTTCCATGTCTTCCTCAATTCCCTGTCCTTCTGGAACCCCTATTACTCTAATATTGTTTTGTTTTGTATTGTCCCAGAGTTCCCTTAGACTTTCCTCCTGTTTTTTAATTTTTTTTCCCAGAAGCTGTTCTAATTGGGTATGTTTTTCCATCTTGTCTTCTAGCTCGCTGATGCGGTCCTCTGCTTCTTCTAATCTACTCTTGATGCTTTCTATTGAGTTCTTTACAGTAGCGATGTCATTTTTCATTTCTTCTTGGTTCTTCTTCATTTCCTCTTGGTTCTTACTCATATTGTCAAATTTGTCTTCCATTCTTTTTAGCCATCTTATGATCATTACTCTGAATTCTTGCTCAGGTAGGTTGCTTCCCTCTATCTCGTTTACTTCCTTTTCTGGTGAGGCCTGCTTTTCTTTCATATGCGGGCTATGTTTTGGTCTCCCCATGATCTAGGATGTCTGGTTGTGTAGTTCTCTCTCTCTCCTGCTTTGATTTAAAGGCACCAAATACAACACAACCAGGTACAACACACAGGGGACTGAATCGGGATGTGTTTGAAATATTAATAACCACCAATAAGGGTGACTAGAACCCAGCTAGCAAAAACATACAATCAAACAAAAAGCATATCAAATCAATCTTATAAACAAAAGCATACAACTTCAGTATAGTTAACATTCAACATACAACTTCAAAGTGTTAGAGAGAAAGACTTTTGTTTTGTTTTGTTTTGTTTTTAGGACAACTGCAAGGGAGGTGTGAATGGGCTCGGAGCAAGTAGTTGGAAATTAGATATATAGAAGTAGGGTGAAATTTTAGGAGGAGGTAGACAGAAGGAATGGGGAAAATCTAGAGCAGGAAAGGGTTAAGATAAACGGGGTACCAAAGGAAAATATCGGAAAGAGGGTGAAGGCATAAAGGATAGGTTGAGATAGAATAAAGCGTTGGAGAAGGAAAGATAGATAAAGCCTGTAGAACAGTAATCCTGAAATTAAAAAAAAAAAAAAAAAATATATATATATATATATATAATCAAATGAAATAAAAATAATAAAAATAAACAAAAAAAATAAGATGAAAAAGGTAACTTAGTAGTAGTACAATGTAGTAATTATAAAGATAAAATCAAGTGAGGAAAAAGAAAAAAAAGTTTCTTGAGTAAACGTTGCAAATAATGAAAACAAAAATTTAAAAATTTAAAAATTAATAAAATTTTAAAAATTTAAATAAAATTTGCAGTAATGAAGGTCATTCGCTTCCTCTATTGTTATGATCCAGTCCTGATTTTTAGGCAGGTTTTGCTTTGTTTTTATTACACTAGAGTCAATTTGTGAATTAGCCTCTGGGGGCAGTGTTTCTAGGTTGACTTCCCAGACTCTAGAGCCTCTCCAGCTTTTTTTTTTTTTTTTTTTTAGTCCTCTCTGAAGCAGGAACTACGGAGGGGGGAGGGGGCAGGTCCCAGCAACCTCAATCTCCTGCAACTCTCCGATACCCCTCCGCGCCAGATCCAAATGTGTTGCTCTTTAGATATCTCCCCTGTTAGGAGCCCCGTCCGCTTTCACGGGTGACACCCGCCCAACAGCGGGGCTTCTACTTGTAATCGCCGCCCTTGTCCTCCAGCTTCTGCGTTCTGCGCGCGCAGGCTTTGTTTTCGCCGCGAGTGCGCTCCACCCTCTCCCCGCGAAATCTGACCTTTTCGCCGAGCAGTGGGGCACTCCTGTGGGGCCAGGTGTTCGCGCCGCCTGGGATCCGCGTTCTGGGGGTCACAGTTGCTTGTTGGTCGCTGCGGTTGTTGATATTCAGGCCTCTGACACGATCCTATCTTCCTCTCAAGATGGCGAGGTTTCCCTCCATTTCTAGAAGTTTTTCGTCATTCCAAACAGAGACTGTATCCATTACACAGTAATTCCCCATTCTTCACCCGCACTGCTCCAGCCTCTGCTGATCTGCTATCCTTTCCTTGAAGGTTGTTCATTGCTGGTGTGCAGACTTTTGCATGTTGATTTTGACACTGCTTACTTATAGTTTCTTGTACTTTTTTTTTTCTGTGTAATCTCGAGATTTCTCCATATAAGATCATGTCATCTGTGTACAAAGATAACTTTACATCTTCCTTTATATACCTTTTATTTATTTTTCATACCAAATGCTCTGATTAGAATTTCCAATACTATATTCTGTTAATCCCTTGATGTTGGAGGGAGATTGATTCCCTGACGTGCTCCATCTCCTCCATCCCAGTGGATACTAAAATCCATGAATGCTCAAGTCCCTTATACTATGAAATAGCACAGAACAGTGCAGACGTGTTGGCTGTTGGCATTTATGGATTTCCAATTGCAGGTTGAAAATACTGTTTTCTATCTGCAATTGGTTGAATCTGAGGATGTGACACTAGCAGACATGGAGGGTTGCCTGTATACTCTCTACCTTTTCCTTTTTCCCTCTATTAGTCTGTGTTCTGAATCAAGGTAACTGAAACCAAGTGATGCCGGAGTGGTGGATTTGCTTTAGGAGCTAACGAGGAACTAGATGCAAGTTATTCTTATTCACTACCTGGAAGTTTCTGATCTGCAACAATTAATTTATGTACTTTCCATGTGAACCCTTAAGCCTTTTGTATATAAATCAACACCTAGAATATGTTTATGAAATGAAGAAAAAATAAAATGTCTGTACTTTAGTTGATCTTTCAAATTAAACTATGTTACAGGGTTTCTACACTCAAAAGAAGTTGCTTTATAATCTAACAGAATTTTTCCTTGGTAAAAATTGTGTTCCACAGTAATACAGGATTCCAATACAGTGGAGTGTAAATGAAATTTTTATAATCTTACTTGGAGAAGCACCAGCTTGCACAGTCTGTTACCAATGGTGGTGGTGATAGCGGAGGTTAACATTTGGAACTAATGAAGGCATAACTGGAGTTCACTGTTTTTAGCCAGATAGATATTTCTGTTACATGAGGTTTAAAGGGAAGAAAGTAAAGCAACTTATTAAGCGGGGAAAGAAGTAGGAAAATGTTAAGTATTTGGGGGGAACAAAGGAATCATTATCTTTTTTTTTTTTTAATCCTCACTTGAGGATTAAATGTTTATTGATTTTAGAGAGAGAGAAGGAGAGAAAGAGGCAGAAAGAGAAGCATCAATGTGTGAGAGAGACTTTGATTGTTTGCTTCATGCACTTGTCCTGACCTGGGTCGGGATGGAACCTGCAACCCAAGTACATGCTGTTGGTGGTGTGCAGAATTGAACCCTCGGCCCTTTAGTGTGTGGGCTGTCTCTAACTGTTAAGCAACATGAGCCAGGGCTCCTTAAGCTTTTAAAACTAGCTTTTACTGAAATGGTGACCAGAATGGCACCACTTGTAATGAGAGGATGGCAGAGTCTCAGGTCACAATAGAAACAGTCAAAGATTATTTAAATATTGCCTTTCAAGTTTCCTACAACTTATCTTCCTAAGTTTGAAGAGCAAGTCAAATTTTTTTTCTGAGGTAAAAGTTACTTACGCACCATTATCTATTAATAAGTTTCTTCCTATTCTTAAAAAAGCTGTTAACATCTATTTAAGTTTCCCATTTTGTTCTCATGTCTTTTCTTTGGTTGATATTTCAGTAATTTTTGGTGTCATATTTTATCTAAATGGATAACTATGAAAATAAAACATAAATATACATTCTCCATTTTATTTCCCTTTTAGGCATGAATCATACAAAACTCAGTATAGAGCAATGTTTGTGATGAATTGTTCTGTCAACAAAGAGGAGGTTCTAAGATATAAAATTCCAGAGAACAGGAAGAAAAAGCGAGGCCATAAGAAGATGCGGGCTAACCAGGAAGATGCTGCAAAGCAGGCAGAGACAGAAGTGGGAGAGATCTATCACCCTGTTATGTGCACCGAATGTTCCACCGAAGTGGCCGTCTATGACAAGGATGAAGTCTTCCACTTTTTCAATGTTTTGGCAAGCCATTCCTAAATAGCTAAGTTTGCATTAAAGTGCCCAATAGTGTATATAAGGCAAATATAACAGTTACTTTCCTCCTGCCTATTTATATTAAGTGACATTCTGAGTGGAAGGAGTGTTTTATTTTTGAAAGAGAATGGTTACCAACCTTCCTTCACTTTTCCCCCTTCTTTAAAAAATTTCCCCCCAGCTCTGTTGAGACTGATTATTCATTCCCTTTTTGACGGACCTTGGAAACTTGGGGCTTTTCATTTATTAAAGCTCTTTAGAATTAAAGTGTTCTGGAGTTGTAAGTAATCTGTTTTAGAGTGTTATTTTTTATTTTAGACATGCCCTTGGTGTGCCTAAACTGGAAACTATTTCTGAGTCCTGCATGTATTGGTTTTGCTAAGAGTATCTGTATTTCTATCCCACAGGGTGGAGTGACAGTATTTAGCAACTGTTACAATGACAGGGAGTTAGTATTGCTGGCTGCTTTGAGTAATTAATGTAGGCCTTTCCTTAAAAGGATTGTACTTACTAGTATTTTAAACTTAATAAATTAACATAGTGAAATAGAAATCTAGCCTTAGATTTAAAAATATCTTGCTGCCCCTTATATCTACTATATATTCCAGAATTTCTGTTGCTGGCAGCCTAGTTTTTTTGTTTTGTTTTGTTATTAAGTACATCAATGATTTTCAACATTTTTCATCTCATAGCACACATAATCTAAATACTAAAATTCTGTGGCACACCAAAAAGTATTTTTTGCTGATCTGACAAAAAAACCCCAAAGGTATAATTTTTTTTAATATAATATATTTTATTGATTTTTTAGAGAGGAAGAGAGAGGGATAGAGAGTTAGAAACATTGATGAGAGAGAATCATTGACCAGCTGCCTCCTGCACAACCCCCGCTGGGGATGTACTTACAACCAAGGTACCTGCCCTTGACCGGAATCTTACCTGGGACCCTTCAGTCAGCAGGTCGATGATCTATATCCACTGAGCCAAATCGGTTTTGGCCCAAAGGTATAATTTTGATTCATTCACCCCAGATGGCTGTTGTTGTTTTGGCTGTTGTAATTTTTTTATTTGACCGTCTAAGGGAAAAGAGATCAGTGCCCCTGACTAAACAGGTAGGTACTACACGTGTTAAAAATTCTTGCAGCATACTGGTTGATAATCTCTGAAGTACATAAAAATCATTAGTGGCAGTCTGGGAGGAAAATACATTGTAGGCAACTGAACGTTTTAGCTTTTTATTTATTTTTTATTTTTTAATTTTTATTTATTTATTTTTAAAATATATTTTATTGATTTTGTACAGAGAGGAAGGGAGAGAGATAGAGAGCTAGAAACATCGATGAGAGAGAGAGTCATCGACCAGCTGCCTCTTGCACACCCCCTACTGGGGATATGCCTGCAACCAAGGTACATGCCCTTGACCGGAATCGAACCCGGGACCCTTCAGTCCCCAAGCCGACGCTCTATCCATTGAGCCAAACCAGTCCCGGCACGTTTTAGCTTTTTAAAAAGTTAAAAAAAAATTTTTTTTATTGACTTCGGAGAGGAAGTGAGGGAGAGAGAGATAAAAACATCAATGATCAGAATTATTGATCCGCTGCCTCCTGCACATCCCCTACTGGGGATTAAGTCTGCAACCTGGGGCCGAAACTGGTTTGGCTTAGTGGATAGAGCGGTGGCTTGGGGACTGAAGGGTCCCGGGTTCGATTCCGGTCAGGGGCATGTACCTTGGTTGCAGGCATATCCCCAGTAGGGGGTGTGCAAGAGGCAGCTGATTGATGACTCTCTCATCGATGTTTCTAACTCACTATCTCTCTCCCTTCTTCTCTGTATAAAATCAATAAAATATATTAAAAAATATATATATATTTAAAAAAAAGAAAAAAGTCTGCAACCCGGGCCTGTGCCGTGGGCAGGAATAGAAGAGCCATGACTCCTGGTTCACAGGCCAGCACTCCACCACCGAACCACACCAGCGGCCCATTCTAACTTTTCAAAAGAGTGATGTGATTGGGCTGTTTCCAAAACAACATTAGGAAACTCGGAGTCCTCTTGGTAATCTATTAGTAATAGATATGTGATAGAATGAACATATATCAGGAAATATGCTTTAATTTGGGCTCTATCATGGTAATCTTGGGCAAGCCTGTTCTTTGGATTCTAGTTTTCTCATCTATAAAATGGAAAAATTGGGTCAGGGCAGTGGTTCCCTGCAGAGGTCGGGGTTCAACAGAGCTTGACGGGGACCTCCGCATACTGCCTCAGAGAATGCTCCACTCCAGAAGGAAAACATGCCTTCTGTGCTTTCTAAAAGCTACATTTAGGAGAGCTGGAACCAGTGATGGTGAAGTGTTCGTATGAATTAGGTGGAGGCAGGAAATGATAAAGAAAAATATGCTAATATCTGATTAGAAGCATTATGTATACTTTATTTTTTAAGTACATTTTTTATTGATTTTAGAGAAGAAGGGAGAGGGAGAGAGAGAGAGAAACATCGGTGTTGAGAACCATTGATCAACTGCCTCCTGCTCGCCCCCTACTGGGGATTGAGGCATGTGCTCTTGGCTGGAATGAAACCCAGGCATGTGCCCTTGGCTGGAATCGAACCTGGGACCCTTCAGTCTGCAGGCCAACACTCTATCCATTGGGTCAAACCAGCTAGTGCTATACTTTTTATTTTTTTATTTTTAAACTGATTTGAGAGAGAGAGGAAGAGAGAAACATTGATTTGTTGTTCCACTTATTTACACATTTATTGGTTGATTCTTGTGGTGCCTTGACCAGAAATTGAACCCACAACCTTGGCCTATCAGGACCATGCTCTTACCAACTAAGCTATCCAGCCAGGGCACATTACATATACTTTTAAATGTTTCAACAGCCGAAACGGGTTTGGCTCAGTGGGTAGAGCATCGGTCTGCAGACTGAAGGGTCCCAGGTTCGATTCCGGTCAAGGGCATGTACATTGGTTGCAGGCACATCCCCGGTGGGGGGTGTGCAGAAGGCAGCTGGTCGATGTTTCTCTCTCATCGATGTTTCTAGCTCTCTATCCCTCTTCCTCTCGGTAAAAAATCAATAAAATACATTTTTAAAAAATGGTTTAACATGTTGCCAGATGGTATATTACAGAATAGCACTACAGTTTATTTATTGTAACCTTGTGTTTGCCATAGTGTAGCTTCATATGTTTCCCACCAACAATGTCTCCACATTATTAAAATGTTCTTTCAGTTTTTGCAAATTGTAACAGTACCACTCATTTTCAAAGTTTAGCCATAGATTTTTTTTTTTTTTTTGCCATTGTAAATGGCATCTTTTGTCCATGATATTTTCTAACAGGTTGGAGTTGGGGCAAAGCCGTCGGTTGTTGCAAGCAATTGTTTATTTGAAACTCACCAGATTCCCAACATTGAGTTCCAATAGTTTCAGGTGATTCTCTTGAGTTTTCCTCCTCTCGCCTGTAGGTGGTGCTGCTCCATTGTGTCCAGGGGTTGGCACTGCCTTGTTCCTCCAGGAACACACTCTTTCCCTCTGGAGTCTAGAGTCTAGACCAAGCACTTCAAACCCAAAGGCTGACACGGGCCAGTTAGACCAGGTTTACTATGTGGGCTGCAAAAAAACAAAAGCTTCTATTTCCATAGAAACGTAAGTTTATTTAGATAGAGACATGCCGAATATAAAGGGATGGAATAAATGAATAATTCTTAACATAAAATAATAGAACATGTTAATAAAAATTAATATTTTTCTTGAACATTAACTTATCAGATACTGGATAACTACATAAATTAATAAGCGTAACACAAATCTATTTTTCTTGTTCTCCGAAAGCAAAATATTTCCTGTTGCAAGTCAGTCTAAGACTAATGATGTGGCAATCGGCTGCTAAAATATTCGCTTCTGGTATTAGTGGAGAGACATGGTGCACGTGTGCATAAACCCTCTGAGATTAACTCTTTTTTTTTTTTTAAACCAGTCTTAAAATTAAATATTAATCTTTATTGTTGACAGTATTACAGCCCTCCCCCCCCCCTTTTTTCCATCGACCCCATCTACCCCACACTTGCTCTCCCAACTCTTCAGTGTCTGTGTCCATGGGCTATGCATCTATAACAATAAAAGTGTAATATGCTAATTAGACTGGATGGCTGAACAGCGGAACGTCCGTCCGGATGACCTTCTGGACGACCATCTGGGTGACCTTCGGGACCACGCTATGACACCCACCGGCCTCAGGCCAGCCCAGGTGAATGTGATGTGGTTGGTTGGGGCCCCAGTCATTGCCCCATGATTGTTCTGTAAGGGAGGCCCAGGCCACCATCTGGCGGGGCGATCAATCGGGGGCTTCATGATCGCCCCAAAGAGGGAGGGAGGCCCAGGCCACTGACCAGCGGCTGTGGCGGGTGGTTGGGGCCTCCCTCTAAGGGAAGCCCCGGTCCAGGTGCCTGCTGTAGTTCACACCGATTGCCAATAGCCTTCGATTGCCGGCTCTGCCCCTGCCAAGGCCTAAAGCCTCTGGCCAATGCTTTAGGCCTGGGCAGGGGACCCCCAACTCCCTCCAATCGCCGGCTCCACCTCTGTCCCCTCTGCTCTGATCTCAGGCTTAGCCCTACCCAGGAGCCCCCTGGCTCAGGCCCTTCCCAGGCTGCTCAGGGCCCATGCGGGGCCTACCTCCGAGTGACTTGGGTGCCAGGATGTCCCCAGGACCCAGGCGCTGGGCGCCTATGTATGCAAATTAACTGCCATCTCTGTTGGGCTAATTTGCATACTCATTCTGATTGGCTATGGGTGTAGCAGAAGTATGGTCAATTTACATGCGTGTCTATTATTAGGTAAGACTAGTGACTCACCATGTGGGACCCTGGGACCCTCCTCCCCATCCCCCCATGCCATGGGACTGCCCTGAATCTCGGAGTCCTGCCCCGCATGGCCAGCGTGTGGCGGGATGGCGCCAAGTCCTGGAGCGCTGCCCTAATGCCCTGCTTCCAGGCTATGTGCAGTGG